TTCCATTAGTTAGCACTTCTTTATTAAATATTATGAATATGTCTTTATTATCAGGCTATGTTCCACAATCATTCAAAGTAGCAGTGATAAAACCGCTTCTTAAAAAGCACAACCTCGATCCAGAGGTTTTAGCCAACTATAGACCTATTTCTAATCTTCCGTTCCTCTCAAAGATTCTTGAGAAAGCAGTCGCAAAACAGTTATGTGATTACTTAAAAAACAATGATTTATTTGAAGATTTTCAGTTTGGCTTTAGAACACATCATAGCACAGAGAGAGCTCTGGTTAAAGTTACAAATTACCTTCTAATAGCCTCAGACAAAGGACTTGTCTCTATTCTTGTTTTGCTCGATCTCAGTGCTGCATTTGATACTATCGACCATGACATCTTATTGCAAAGACTAGAGCACTTAGTTGGCTTACAGGGAACTGCTTTAGGCTGGTTTAGGTCCTATCTATCTGAACGCTCTCAGTTTGTATGTGTCAACGATGAATCTTCCATGCAGACCAAAGTTAGCCATGGAGTGCCACAGGGCTCAGTGCTTGGACCTATTTTGTTCACATTATATATGCTTCCGTTAGGCAATATTAAGAGGAATCATTCTGTACATTTTCATTGTTATGCGGATGATACTCAACTATATTTAACAATCAAGCCTGATGAAATGAATCATCTAAATAAAATTCAAGACTGCCTCAAGGACTTGGATGACGTGGACCTTAAACTTTTTGATGTTAAACACGGCCAAAACTGAAGTTATTGTACTCAGCCCAAAGAATCTACGAAACAAATTATCTAAAGATATACTAACTATGGATGGCATTAATTTGGCCTCCAGTGAGACTGTAAGGAATCTTGGTGTTATATTTGATCAGGATTTATCCTTTAACGCCCACATAAAATCAATTTCAAGGACCGCCTACTTCCATCTACGTAACATTGCAAAAATCAGGCATATCTTGCCTCAAAACGATGCAGAGAAACTAGTCCATGCATTTGTTACTTCAAGGCTGGATTATTGTAACTCTTTATTATCAGGGTATACCAAGAAGTCAGTTAAGTCGCTTCAGCTGATTCAAAAATGCTGCAGCACGTGTACTAACCAGAGTTAGGAAAAGGGACCACATTACTCCTGTTCTGGCTGCCTTACACTGGCTCCCTATAGAACACAGGATAGAATTTAAAATTCTTCTTCTCGCCTACAAAGCCCTTAATGGGCAGGCGCCATCTTACCTTAAAGAACTCATTATACCCTACTGTCCTACTAGGGCATGGCGTTCCAAGAATGCAGGGTTGTTGGTTGTTCCTAGAGTCTCTAAAAGTACAATGGGAGCCAGAGCCTTTTTTTATCAAGCTCCACATTTGTGGAATCAGCTTCCAGTTTGTGTTCGGGCGGCAGACACCCTATCCGTTTTTAAGAGTGCGCTTAAGACCTTCCTTTTTGATAAAGCTTATAGTTAGGGCTGATTAGATTCAGCCCCTAGTTTTGCTGCTATAGGCTTAGTTTGTCGGGGGACACCTTACTTCTTCCTTCTCTCTGTCTGTACCTGTGTACTCTCATGTTCCGAATAACCCAGCTTCCCGAAATTTCTTTTTGGTGTCTATATACGCCGGGATCCGGAGTCATGGCTGATCGTGTTGCTGTGGTCCTGAGTCCTGGATCGCGAGCCCTGGATCTTGTGTCGTGGCTGTGCCTGCTGCTGTGGTCCTGGATCATAAGTCCTGGATGGATATCCTTGTGGATTAATCTTCTTATTATAGACACATACATTTCCAAACATTTGGACTACCTATGTTGCAAATGTATTATCTTTTCAATTTACACACGGCATCTATTGCACATCTGTCCGTCCTGGGAGAGGGATCCCTCCTCTGTTGCTCTCCCTGAGGTTTCTCCCATTTTCCCCTTTAAACTTTGGGTTTTCTCCGGAAGTTTTTCCTTGTACGATGTGAGGGTCTAAGGACAGAGGGTGTCGTATTGTCATACTGATATTCTGTACAAACTGTGAAGTCCACTGAGACAAATGTAACATTTGTGATATTGGGCTATATAAATAAACATTGATTGATTGACAGAGCCCCTCCTCCAACACACACAAACGTGCACATGACCAATGAGGGCACGAGATAAGTTTGTGCACAGATGGAAGGCTGACAGGCAGGTAGGCCATCCAGTTATTTTAGCCGGGCCGGCTAAAATGATTGGTCGTGCTTTTTACAGTACTACGGCTTCCACAGATGACATTTTTTTATGGATCTTTTGTCAAAGCACTTAAGATATTCATTGCTATCGGGATGTTAAGAGCATTCCATGGAATATAACAAGAAGGAACTGTGTATCTCGAGCCGGTTTCTCAAACTTACCTACCCCACCTTTAAGCAACGTAAAACGTGCAGACCGGGAGCAACAGACGTAGGTTAGCCGGCTAGCATCACAGAGCAGCACTGCTGAGCATGTTAGCTTAGCTTGTTAGCCTCAGCTAGCTCTGGAGCTTCCAGCTCGGTGGCAGCAGGTCCCGCTTCTTTGCCCTTATTTGGATCAGGCTGGAGTACCTCTGTTACTCCTATATTTACTTAATCAACCATATTTAACTGGCCATTGTCCTCTCAGCCTGAAATATCAATCACTTCAATAAATGATAAAAGAAAAAAGGAAAGGTTCTGGCTCAATTTCGGTTTAGTTAGCTTGCTAGCGGGTTGCTTGGCTGCCTCACGAGCTGCGCCAGGTGATGTAAACAAGAACACCTCCATAGACCAGACCGTCTCAGTTTGTAGACCGCTCCGTCCAGGGTCCAGCCTATGGCTGCGGTGCTGTTTCTCTATAAATTCATGCTGAATTGGACCTTCTGTTTCATTCTTCTTTAATGGCGACTTCCAAACAGAGTAGACGAGAATTATCGCCACCTACTGTATCACTGCAGCATTGTTCTTTGTTACTTCCGTTTCATTACAATGACTTCCGTTTCATTACAATGAGTTCCGTTACAGCAAGAACCCCCCTCACACACATAGGTGAAACACATGCACATTCCCTACTGAGAACCTTTCAGTAAAATGTTTTCAGGAGTGTGTGTGTGTGTGTGTGTAAGGTTTTCAGTAGTGAATGTGAGAGTATTTCAGTAGTATGTGTGTGAGGTTAATTTTCAGTTGCGTGTGTGTGAGGTTTAATTTTCAGTTGTGTATGCAAGGTGTTCACTAGTGAATGTGAGAGTATTTCAATAGTGTGTGTGTGAGGTTAATTTTCAGTTGTGTGTGTGTGAGGTTAATTTTCAGTAGTATGTGTGTGAGGTTTACTTTTCAGTTGTGTGTGTGTGAGGTGTTCACTAGTGAATGTGAGAGTATTTCAATAGTGCTTGGGTGAGGTTAATTTTCAGTTGTGTGTGTGTGAGGCAGTGTTGTAGTCAAGTCACCAATTCACGAGTCCAAGTCACTCTCGAGTCACCACTCTTCGAGTCCGAGTCCAAGTCCGAGTCACCAAGGGAGAGTCGTAGTCGAGTCTGAGTCCAAGTCCGAGTCACCCAAGGAGTGTCCGAGTCGAGTCCGAGTCCGAGTCATCATTACCTGTGTTCGAGTCCGAGTCCAAGTCAGAGTCACCCATGGAGTGTCCGAGTCGAGTCCGAGTCATCATTACCTGTGTTCGAGTCCGAGTCCAAGTCCGAGTCACCTAAGAAGAGTCCAAGTCCGAGTCACAAGTCTTCATGTATTAATCTTCATGGATATATGTGTTGAAATGTAGCTGCTCCTCTACATTGCTTTTATCCTGTCATGTTATACTAATGTGTCTATTGAACTGCTGTGAAGCCAGTTTGGCTACAGGTCTTGTAATAGGTGCTATACAAATATAAAGCTTATTACTAATATTATTATTATTATTGTAAATTACCTTTAATATGTCTAACTATATTTAAAATGAGTTACCTTTTAGAGAAGTGATTATATTTGTATGCCAATATTTTCCTATGGTAAAGTTTTCGTTTTGCACTTTTATTTTGATAGTAATAAGATCGGGACTCTTATTTTGAAGGAACTTTTACCGGTTAAATCGGTTTACTGATAAAGATTTAGCCCCAGAAAGCACATGGCTACTTAGCATGCAAAATGACGTCATTCTGCATGTTAAGTAGCCATGTGCTTTCGTGTTATCGGCTGAATCTTTATTTATTGATTAGATCACGTTACTCTGATGATAGTGTTCAAGACAGCCTATATGTCTGAACTCGATGTTTAGAGTAATGTGTTACAGAGCCTTCTCTTCAATATTGTTTCCACATAGAGCATTTTGCGCTGCTCTTTTCCAATGTGGAAGCAGAATGTGTGAAAGCATACAGCACGATGCAGGCCGGGTGTGTCTCTAGACATCTTTAGACTGGAATAGCGGGGCCCAGTACGTGAACTCGCCTCACAGGTGCACATGTCAGGATAGAGGACATCAGACTCCAGAGAAAACTTGCTCGAGTCCGAGTCCAAGTCGGAGCGTCAATGTACAAGTCGAGTCCGAGTCATCATGGGGGGGAAAATTCACGAGTCCGAGTCCAAGTCAGTGTACGCGAGAATTCACGAGTCCGAGTCCGAGTCCAAGTCATCGTGCTCGAGAATTCACGAGTCCAAGTCCGAGTCGCGTCAATCAGTGCGCGAGTCCGAGTCGAGTCACGAGTCCCGAAAATCGGCACTCGAGTCCGAGTCCAGGACTCGAGTACTCCATCTCTGGTGTGAGGTGTTCAGTCGTGAATGTGAGAGTATTTCAGTAGTGTGTGTGCAAGGCCAGATGTTTTCAGTAGTCTGTGTGCGAGGTTAGTTTGAATTGAACACACACACACACACACACACACACACACACACACACACACACACACACACACACACACACACACACACACACACACACACACACACACACACACACACACACACACACACACACACACACACACACACACACACACACACACACACAGTCCTTCCAGATATGATGGAGTCGTATTGACTCCAGTGGCGGGGCCAGGACATTTTCAGTGGGGTGGCCAGGATGGAACCAGTGATCATTTTGGGGTGGCATTGAAATCACTATTATATGAACATAAAAATACATCTCACTAGAAAATAAGGGGTTATTTAAGGCACCTACACTGTAAAAAAAAAACTCGTAAAAAAACGGTCAAGGCAAGGCAAGGCAAGGCAAGTTTATTTATATAGCACCTTTCAACACAAGGTAATTCAAAGTGCTTTACAAAAATGGAAGACATTTTAAAAATGGCATTTAAAATCAGTCATTAAAAAGGAAAGATAATAAAATAAACATTAAAAGAAAAAATACATGGATAAAAGTTAAAAGTTACAGTGCAGTTTAAGATGTGAATAGTTCAATTAAAAGCAGCGGCAAAAAGAAAAGTCTTCAGCCTGGATTTAAAAGTAGTAAGAGTTGCAGCGGACCTGCAGGTTTCTGGGAGTTTGTTCCAGATATTCGGAGCATAATAACTGAATGCTGCTTTACCATGTTTAGTTCTGACTCTGGGGACAGAAAGCTGCCCAGTCCCTGAAGACCTGAGGGTTCTGGATGGTTCATAATTTAGCAGTAGGTCAGACATGTATTTTGGGCCTAAACCATTCAAAGCTTTATAAACCAGCAACAATATTTTGAAATCTATTCTTTGACACACAGGAAGCCAGTGTAAAGACTTCAGAACAGGAGTGATGTGATCCACTTTCTTAGTGTTAGTGAGGACTCGAGCAGCGGCGTTCTGAATTAGCTGCAGCTTTCTAATAGATTTTTTAGTGAGGCCTGTAAAGACACCATTGCAGTAGTCGAGTCTACTGAAGATAAAAGCATGGACAAGTTTTTCCAAATCCTGCTGTGACATTAGTCCTTTAATCCTAGATATGTTCTTTAGGTGATAGTAGGCTGATTTAGTAACTGTTTTAATGTGACTGTTGAAACTCAGGTCAGAGTCCATGACTACACCTAGATTTCTGGCTTTATCTGTTGTTTTGAACATTGCAGACTGAAGCTCAGCGCTAACTTTTATACGTTCTGCCTTGGCTCCAAAAACCATTACCTCAGTTTTATCTTTGTTTAATTGGAGAAAGTTCTGACACATCCAGTCATTGATTTGTTCAATGCACTTACTCAGTGTTTGAATTGGAGCATAATCTCCTGGTGAAATTGTTACGTAAATTTGTGTGTCATCCGCATAGCTATGGTAACTTATTTTGTTGTTTTTCATTATCTGAGCCAGTGGTAGCATGTAGATGTTAAAGAGAAGAGGCCCCAAGATGGAGCCTTGAGGTACCCCACATGTCATATTTGTCAACTCAGATGTGTATTTACCTATAGAAATAAAGTTTTTTCTGTCCTTTAAGTAGGACTCAAACCAATTTAGAACTGTTGCCGAAAGTCCCACCCAGTTTTCTAGTCGGTCTAGTAATATGTTGTGGTCAACAGTGTCAAATGCAGCACTGAGATCTAATAATACTAACACTGAAGTTCTGCCACTGTCTGTGTTTAAGTGGATGTCATTGAAGACCTTTACAAGAGCAGTCTCAGTGCTGTGGTTTGGACGAAATCCTGACTGGAACACATCCAAACAGTTATTTAAATGCAAGAAGTTACTCAACTGTTGAAATACTACTTTTTCAATGATTTTACCTAGAAATGGCAGGTTTGATATTGGCCTGTAATTGTTCATTACTGAGGCATCTAGATTATTCTTTTTTAAGAGCGGTTTAATGACTGCAGTTTTCAGGGCCTCTGGAAAAATACCTGAGTGAAGAGATGTGTTTACTATATGAAGTAGATCTGAGGCCATGCAAGGAAAAACATCTTTGAAAAATCCTGTTGGAATAATATCAAGGCAGCAGGAGGAGGATTTCAGAAGTTGAATAATGTCCTCTAAGTTTTTACCATTAATCTGATGGAATTGTGTCATGGTGTTTGAATTGATATTAGGTGGACATAGGGACAAAACATTTGCTGTACCTGATGTAGAGGCACTGACTGCTTGTCTAATTTTCTGAATTTTGTCAGTGAAGAAGGAGGAAAAATCATTGCACGCCCTGGTGGATAGAAATTCAGAGGCTACTGACACTGGGGGGTTAGTTAGTCTGTCGACGGTAGCAAACAAGGCACGTGCGTTGTTTTTGTTTTTGGTAATGATGTCAGAGAAGAAAGACTGTCGTGCCTTTTTCAATTCCAAATTATAAAGGCCAAGTCTCTCTTTATAGATTTCAAAGTGAACCTGGAGATTTGTTTTTCGCCACCTACGTTCAGCTTTTCGACACTCTCTTTTTTCTGTTCTCACGGTCATGGCCTTTCTCCATGGAGATATTTTCTTGCTAATCACTTCCTTTACCTTAGTTGGAGCAATGGTATCTATAACATTTTTAATTTTTGAATTAAAATGATCTACTAGCTCATTTACTGAGATGTTAGCAGGGGCAAGTGTGGATGAGAAATTATGAGTAAACATTTCCCTAGTATTTTCAGTTAAATATCGCTTTGTGGTTACCTCTTTCTGAATATTTTTGTGAACAGAAATAGAGCTCTCAAAGAAAACACAGGAATGATCAGAGAGTGCAACATCAGTCACCACAACCTTTGAGATATTCAGACCCTTTGAGATAATTAAGTCCAGAGTGTGCCCCTTATTGTGCGTGGGCTCCGCCACATGCTGAGTCAGTCCATAGTTATCAAGAACACAAAACAGTTCTTTAGCCCCTCTGTCCTGGGGGTTGTCAACATGGATGTTAAAATCACCAACAATGACTAAACGGTCAAAGTCAATACACACTATAGACAGCAGTTCAGTAAAATCATCAAAAAAGCTTGCACAGTATTTGGGTGGTCTATAGATATTTAGGAACAGAGCTCGAGAGGAGCATTTCAGCTGAAGGGCCACATATTCAAAAGAAGCAAAGTCCCCATAAGATGTCTTCCTGCATTGAATGGAGTCATTGAACAAAATAGCAACTCCACCCCCTTTCTTATGCATTCTTTCCTGACTCATAAAACTAAAGTTGGGAGGGGTTGATTCGATAAGAACAGCTGCACTGTTATTTTGTTCAATCCAAGTTTCCGTTAAAAACATAAAATCGAGATTGTGCTCAGTGATAAAATCATTGATTAAAAATGTTTTTCCTGCCAAAGACCTGACATTTAATAAAGCTAGTTTAAGTTTGTTAAATACACTATCAGTAAAAAATGTTGTGACAAGCTGTGGCTGACATGGAATCACTGCTAAATTTGATAACCTCACACAAACGTTTGAGCACTTCCTGTTTCTAAGCTGATTTACCGCTCTTAATCTATTACCTATCAACACAGATATCGGCAAAGCTACTGGCAGGCAGGGCCCCGGCATGTGCTGGAAAGAGTTGAGAGTGCCATATGCCCTTGAGCCTGGACCCAGCACATATCAGTAAAAGTTTGTTGCGTTTTGTACACACACATCCTTATCAGGCTTCGGAGACTGCAGATGCTTTCTTGAAGGGATGGGAGGTGGTTGACATAGGCACAGTGATGAAGACGGGGGAGATGGTGCGCGTCTCTGCTTCGGTGATTTTGGTGGGCGTCGTTGAGGGGCGGGGGTAAAGGACATGCTGCCAACCCTGCATCTCGCCTTCATGCGGTCATCGAACTCCAGGGGGGAGGGCGAGGGTGAAAGGGTGAGCGGAGAGTAGAGAGAGCTGGGAGATGAATGAAGAGTATCCTCCAAGGCGTTGACAGGGGGGGTGACGGGCAGTGGAGACTCCTCCATTTGTGTCATACAGATGAAGCGTCTTATTTTGGACAGTTTAAAGTGCGAGGGTCGTGATCGGTTCATGCACGTTCCGTGATGGCCGGCCGGCCCCCAGTCAGACTTGATACCGCCCCCATGATAAATACATTTAATTATTGTGAAGCCAGCTGCAATGGATCATTGATCCACCAGGGGGTGCAGTGGGGTTCCACACTGGAGTCATGTGAAATCAACTTCTAAATAATAGATGTTGTTTAGTCGGAAAAAACGAACGAGCCGGCTCTCCCGATTTTTAATCCTAATTTAATCATCATCATTGATGTTTATGTTCACCGAATTGACATGAAATCACTGACAAATATGAATATTCTGTATTCAACTTCATTGAAACGATCAGGATGGGTGTTATTTTTCCCCACAATGACCAAGTCGCTGCAAATGATCCCATGTATTACATGTACATGGCCACATTCTCAACAAAGTTACGTAACGAAACATTCTGTATTCCTTGCTTACTTTTTATTTAATGCTTTATAACAGCTGGAATAGTTCGTTTAGAACAGGCACCTCACTCGCAATCTGCTCCTCCGCAACGCCTACCACCTACCTCCGGCTGAAATTATGAATGTACAGTAAGGCATAGTAATCATAGATAACACGGCAGGCTCCGTTACAGTTTGTTTTCATCTGATTTCAAATATTTCAAATGTCTGAAGTTAATAAATACATTCTCAGTGTTCAAGTCAATAATAGTCATATAAGAAAAGTACTGATCTAATAACAGAGATTTTATAAGGACTTTTCAATGTTCGACATCGCTCATGTGAAATACAGTAAACTGGATGTTGTGGTGCCGAGAGGCGGGGTATCAAAAGTACAAGCTAAACTTTTATTTAGCATCTGAACGATCTGAACACACTTGTAAACAACGTGATGCCCGGGAAGCGAAGACCCGGCGGAAACAGCTGGTCTGGTTCACTAAAATGTCCGTGTACAGTATATCTGGTACTAATGTATAGCGGATCTTTGTTAAGATCCATATGTCACGGATAGATATTATATATAGAGATGGGATGGCAGAAGGTGCTATATATATATATATAATTCCAAAGCTGGTAAAGACCTTTCAAATTTAGCAATAATAGTCATATAAGAAAAGTACTGATTTGTTCTTGAATATTATAATAAAATAAACACCGGCTGTTGTTATGCCTGCTGTAACGTTTACTTTCTCCGTTCTCCGCTTAAGTAATTATTACTTCCTGGTTAGCTTTCCGCTCGAAATTTAAATCTGAAAATGGCAAAATAACGGAGAAAAAAACGTTCACAGAGAAGACGACAACAATTGTCACTTGCACTTGTCATTTAGCATCTGAACACACTTGTAAACAACG